TCGCATAGCTTCTGCCTTATTCTGAATGGTCTGTTGCCAGCGTTCTGCTCTGCCGTTCTGTTGTGGTGTTCGCGCCACTGAGAGTTGACGCTCTATTCCGCGTTCTGCTAGGAAATCATCGAATTCGCGGCCTAAAAACTCCCCCCCCCACGGTCCGAACGTATAGCCTTGAGCTTGCGCTCGGCCTGTGTTTCCACCCAAGTGACGAATTGCTTGAAGGCAGAGAAGGCATCAGACTTCCGTTTCAGATACCAGACTAAACCAAAAGAGGAATAGTCGTCGAGGGTGGTAAGGGCAAACTTGTATCTATCGAGTGATAACGACGGATATTCGACAAGATCCATGTGTATTAAGTCGAGGGGATGATCCGCACGACTGTCAGACGCAGGAAAAGCATTGCGACGAGACTTCCCGAATTTGCACCCATCGCAGGGAGTATCCCTGGTTGGAGCTGAGATTTTATCCGGGACGCCTTTAACATTACCAGGCAGTTGAACAACTGATTTCTTCTCAGCGTGTCTGAAGCAACGGTGCCACAAGGTATATGGATCGTCGGATTTGACCGACATCAATGTTCCTGGCTTAATCTCGCTGGTCCTTGTGAGGACTTCAGCTTCTAGCCAATATAAACCTGACGACTTTTCATATTCGCCCTCCATTAAAACTGTCCACTGTGTTGGGTCTGACCCGCGGAGTAATTTAAACTTCTTGCCATCCATCTCAATACGGTGACCGTTATTGAGTGGCATTCTGGGCGCAAAGAACCGTTCTGCTGCTTCCGGTACGTATAATACGGTTTTTAACCGGATATGTTGAATTCGTCCATCTGTGAGACGATGTCGCAGAGCGATTTCACCGTGACCTTTGATTTCGATAGTCTGACCTTTGCCGGCCGTGTGAGCATGACCTGGCTTAGGGAATTCATGATACCGAATAAAGTCAGTTTTGTACGGTGTGACGTGTGTTGTACAACCGCTGTCGACCATCCACTTAGACTTGACACCCGTAGCATAAAGAGAAACAGAGATGGATTCTTCCTCGATCTTTGCTACTAGTGGTACATCAACTATTTTAAGCGTGTTTACTGTCTGCGTGGTTGTTGCGGTATTGTCCTTCGCTTTGCCCTTTCCTTTTCCCTTCTTGTGCTTTCCGCCACCCTGCTGCTGCTGCTGCGTATTGTTGCCATTACCGGAACTCGAGCCAGAATTCACCGGCTTTGTGTCCCAGTGCTGCTCCGTCGTGTAATTCTTGCGACCACATTTCTCACATTTCTTGTCGAGGAGAGGCGCCTTCGAGACGCGTGCAATCTGAGTGCGGTTCGCGACGCGGCGCTGTTCCTCCTCGACGATCTTGGGCTTGATGAGTGCCGCTGTGAGCAGCGTAACATCAGTCTGCGTGGTGAGAATTGTACCAGCAATGGTCTGGTACGACTTGGGGAGAGCATTGATCATGAGCAGAGCAAGGAGCTGAGGTTTGACCTCTATTCCTGCCGCGTTGACCTGGTTAGACTGCTCTGTGAGCGCGTCGAGTTGCGGGCTGAGAGCGGAGCTGTCAGAAAGCTGTGCATTGAACAGCTTCTGGAAGGCGACGAATGTGCCTACCGCTCCGGGTTTCTCGTAGCCGGCCTTGATCGCAGTCCATGCATCCAGGGCCAAGAACTTGTCATCGACGAGATGACAAAGGTTCTGCGCGACGTAGAGCTGGATAATGCCCAGCGCCTTGTCGTTTTTCTCATCCCATGCAGCTTGAGCTAAAATTTCCGTAGCCGTGGGTGTACCTGTCGCAGCTATTGGTCTGGCAAGACCAGGGACAGGAACGGTCGCTGTGGAGCCGTATCCCTGGATCAAGTACCAGACGCCCTGATAGCGCAGGAAGGCTCGGATCGCGTTGGACTACTTTTTATAGTTGGTGCCGTCGAATTGCGGGATGGTAGATGTGGCGAGCTTGGTCGGGTCAGAAGAGGATGACATTGTTATCGTGTACGAAGAGGAGGCGAGTGTATGCGTAGAGTGTTTCACGTTCCTTTGGAGTTAAACTGACGTTGTAAAAGAATTCACTGAGATTGAGCTCGTATGATTCGGCTCGTTTCGCTCGAAGTGATTCCCAATCTTCTTCCAAGAATGCGAGATCGTATGACTGATTGATTGGTCTGTAATATAGATCTTCCGCAATATCTTCCTGGTTGAGGTAACAAGTGTATGGTTCTGAATATGTGTCGGAGCTTGTTGGAAAGAAGATATGGATTATATCTTTGTCGTGGTTTGTTAACTCTGCTGTAGCATTATAGCTCAGCGGTTCTTGGACGTGTTTGAAGAAGTAGAACAGGGTTAGCAACACTTCAACGTATTGTTCGTGTGCTGTTAATGATTCCCAGTCTGTCTCTATGTCGTCTAGTATATTCAGTCGCTGTCTGAATTCTGCAACGGTTTCCTGTTTTGTCTCTACGGTTTCAGGTACCGTATTTGTCTCCTGAGAGGTAGTGATTGTGAACGCTGTTGAGCGAACCACTTATCCCAGCTAAGCCGATTTAGCCGAGAGGTGGATAGAGTTGGAATTGGACAAAGGGACCAGTTAAACTATGACACTTGTTGTCGCTTAGAATAAACACACAGTAGTCAGGTTTCCGAGTGGAACTTCTTTCTGATTGTTACAATAGCGTTGTATACAAAGTATCTACTTGTTCTCGTAAAACCTAACCGTGTCAAAGTATCCGTTCACGTAAACTGCGCTAAGCGTTTGTACAATCCGGGCTTTGTTCTTGCGTAGCCCTTTGAACGAGATATCCCCTATTTCTCTGCATCCTAATTCCCACTTGCGCCACTCCTCGTATTTGACGACGTTGCAGACATCCGCTAGGCAGCGCTTGATGCGCGTGAGCTGCTCGATGAGTCGGCGGAGATTGCGGACTCGGTCAGAGTTGAGGTCGTCGAGCTCGAGAGTCTTGAAGACGTCGAGGCGTTTGAGCGTGCCGTCGAACTTCGGTGTGAAGATGCGGACGAGGTCGGCGGGAGTGTGCTTGTCGAAGTCGATGAGTATCGGCTTCGGAGCAATTGGCGTATGTGTCGCCAGTGGGATGGCAGCGAGACGCTGCTCGAGTGTCGGCTTTGACGGACCGGCAAGGATCCGTTCGCGCGCCTGTTGGATTTCGCGTGCAGCTAGATGCTGCTTGAAGTCAGCTTTGTCGGTCGCGTAGCGCTCGCGGAACTGTTCGCGACGTAGGCGCCTACCCTCGTGTGAGTTCAGAGGGAACAGGAGAGTGAGCGCTGGAGTCGGCGGGTGTAGTTCTTTGCCGCGGCGTTTACCGTACGGGACGGTCTCAACAGAGTCGTTGGCGTTGCCGGAGGCGGGCGCGTAGCCGGCAGAGTGCTTGTACCGCTGGAAAACGGAGTGAGGGGGACGAGCGGGTAAATCCTTTGGCACTAGAAATTACGCAGGAATGAACACGTGAGCGCTCCGTCTGCCACTAGCACGCAACGGGACTTACTCGTAAACTGCGTGAATAAACTTTGTTTAAACTGGGTGAAGGGGACCGAGGTTTCCCGAGGGGTCTTCTTCAGCAATGAGACTAGTAGAGTGGGGGTAGAATGGCCGTGAGGCCGGGGCTCATAACCTGTGAAAGTGCGACTGAACTCTTGCTTTATTCTGTGCTACAGGGCCAGTATATATACATGTGAGTCAGGACCTCTGATACCGCTATAAGACCTATGGTACTGTGAGCGTAAGCATGTATACTAAGCATGAGTAATCAGATGTCGTATTACTACAAGATAATAAAGGGGTCATGTGATGATATCCCCTTTAGTCCGTACAGGGCAATGACATAATCGCCCATTTCTGACACGTGCGGGCTAAATGGACTCCAGAGCCGCAACGACTCTCCAAGGTGGCCTCGGGTGTGCCGAACTGGCTGAAGAGCAGACTCCTTGAGGGTGGAGATCAAGATGGATCAGGATCCATCAAGTGGAAGACGCGCCGCACGCATGAACGCGTGCGCGCTAGTCACGGTAGGTGCGGATTTCAGATCGGACAGTCGCCGTCCGAGATTACATCTGCTGAAAGTTCTTGAGCTCTTAGTATTACGGACATACTGACTTTCAGCCACTCACTGCAGCTCTATATTTGATGCTTTTATGTCGTCCGGGACAATATCAATTATCCCCTAGGTTTATCAAGACGCGCTACACGATCTCTGAAAATACTATCCTCGTTACGCCTTCCTCATGACGCTTATCGACTATTTTAGGTTTTCACAGCGAAGCAAGCATGGCGTAGGGGATTGCTCGACGACCCAACTGGTGTGCTGCTCTGATTTTGACATCTCCGCGTCTGTAGCAAGGCATGCCAGAGAGGCGCACAGGGCGACAGACTGCCTTCGCAACATCAAACCCTAATATATAACCCACAGCGAAGGGACGAATTCCCTGCCGGCGCGTACGCGTGTCCATAACCGTTGATGGTACACGAGGCTGACGCATGGGAACTCACGCCTGTTCCCATCCGACGTCCGTACCGTATCTACTCCCCGGCACACCCACCATCCCAACCAGTCATGCCGCCTCGTGGGCGTGTTGACCTCGCCTTAGATGCTGCCCCTCCTGTCCTCGAGCTAGTGGGTGACGCCCTCGAGCTTGTCCCTGTGCCTGGTCTACCTCTCATCGCCAAAACACTCAATCTCCTCGTCGAGAGAGTCAGCGTACGTAGATCCCATACATGGACGAATAGTAATCCACAGCGGCGTTTCTTCTCCGTTTGTAGGTTTTTCGAGAGAATAAGGAGGCACGCAATGCCTTCCTTGCGCAAGCTGAAGAGCTGAAGACCGTCCTCAATATAACAGCGGCGAAGGTAAACGCCGTAGTCGCCGGGTATGACGGTGGTGCGCAAGACAAGCAGGAGTTACTGGACAATATCAAGCAGTCTAGCGAGCTCCAGAAACGAGTACGGGATCTGCGGGGGTACGCTGAGGATTTTATCAACGTCGCAAGCGATGCTGAGATCCAGTTAGCACAATCGATCGCCTTCAAGGACGCGCAGGAGAGCTGAAGGGCGGGAAAGGATTCCGCGGATCTTTCAAAGGATTCGTCTACGGGTCTCAGAACCAGGCGATCCTGTCGGACATGAAAGAAGATATGGCAAGAGCAATATCTCTTTTTACGGTGCGTCAGCCTTCTCAACTCTAAATGCATGCTTTGACACATGCTTGTGTGCTCCAGCTCAGCGGCTCAATCTCCATCGAGAACATCCTTGATAAGGTCGCGCTCGATACAAAGGTTTGTGCGACGCAGCAATCTTGAGTGGCCCGCCCATAACATCTTCCCGCAGCAAATCCAACGTCAGTTACAGGAAGCTCAACGCCAACTACAGGAAAATCAACGTCAGCTACAGGAAGCTGGTAAGCCTATCCACAGGTTTCTCATGCATGGTTAAATGCAGAGACTGATCGCCTTCCTTGAAGAGGATCGAAAGATTGTGGACTCCATTCCTTGGGCCGACGCAGGCTACCGCTCGGTCGACGAACTCAAGAGCGGGTTCATGCAAGGCACTCGGAAGGAGCTATTCGCGGAGCTAGAGTCGTGGTCTCATGGTCGATTCCCCGAGGACAAGCCCAAGCGAGCCTACTGCCTCAGCGGCGGAGCAGGCTTGGGAAAGTCGTCAATTGTCCACCAGCTCTGCGTCCGTCTCGATGCGGCCGAGCAATCCCCTCTCAGGCTCGGCGCATCCTTCTTCTTCGTCCGTGGGCGCGGAGATCTAGAATCCGCTCGCCTGTTCTTCCCAACCCTTACACGTCAGCTTGCGCGGTCCCGACTAGCCCTTTGCCCGTATATCGTCAGTGCCGCACGGGAATATCTTGTGCATGGCGAGCAGCAGCAGATGCAACACGCGCTCCAAGGGCTCCTTCGGAAGGCCCTCATTGCCGCTCCCGCAGACCAGTTGCCGACACTGCTTGTCGTTGACGGAATAGACGAATGTAAGGATAGAGAGCTTGTTCCTGACTTGCTTCGATCCTTGCTTAGTCTTGTCCGCGAGTTTCCCTGGTTGTACATCTTTGTCGCATCGCGCCCGGAACCCCATATATTGTCGGTGCTCGCATCTCCCGACTTCGCTGACATCGTACATCATATGCGACTGGAAGACACGCTAGAGGACTGGGGTAGCGACGTAGACCGTTATCTCAGAGAGACGGTGCCGAAGATACCCCTCTACGGCGATTTCCTCGACAAACACCCTGACTCTCTTGAACGCCTCATCAAGCGTGCGGCCGGTGTATTCATCTTCGCCCGCATCGCAGTGAATTTCTTGGATATGCACCGGAATCATCCGGAGGAGTGGTTCGAGCTCGTTCTTTCGGGCGGAAGTCCAGCGACGTCTCCTCTCGATGCGCTGTATCTGCAGATCCTACGGTCCGCATTCCCCCCAGAAGACTTGCGCGCCTCACCCCGTCAACGCGAACGTCTCCGCTCTTTCCTGCGTTTCATTGCACTAGAATCTGGCGCAACTCCCGAGACTGTTGCATTCTACGAACCCGAGCTGTCCGTGGACGACGTCTTCTACATAGTGGACCGCCTGCGCTCCGTGCTGATGATCGGCAAGGACGGGGATGTGGTACCCCTTCATGCCTCATTCAGCGAGTTCCTTGTCGATGAGGATCGGTGCGGTGATGCGCTCTACCATGTGGACAAGTCTGAAGGACATGCTCACCTTGCATGTGCCTGTCTAGCAGCTATGTCCTTTGAAAATCGCACATATTACCTGCAGAAACCAGACAAATACGCACGTATCAACTTCAATGTAATGGTAGACCGTTGGCGGAAGCATGTTGAGCAAGCCAAATGTACCGCGGAGTTGGAGGAGCAGCTATTTCAGTTCGTGCAAGACATCCGACTGGCATTGCATATGTGGATCATCATAGAATTTAAACCCGGGGTCACAGGCTATTCTATACAATATATGTGGGACTGTCTTCAGGTATGTAACCAGTTCCGACTACTCATGTGTCGCATATATCTGCGGTACGCCAATAGTCATATTTACTTATTATCTATGATGCAGTCTTCCGGAGCCAGGAAAGCGATATGCTCCGAGTTCGTCAAGTTTGGTATTTATATCAAATTATGGCAGCTCGGCGTGCTCACATCTTCAACACGTGATCCACCACAACTCACCTCGGACGACATATCTCAGGCAATACAAAGGCTTCCTGACGAATACCAAGAGATAGCTCCTAGCCTGGACCTCACTGTCGACACCAGCCACCTGGGACGATATGAGGTCATCATGGCAGATTTCTTGGCGGAGATAAACCGAGATGAAGTGACCAAGAAGCTGTGGTACGTAGACTCCTATGTGGACGAGGAGCAAGTTCGTTTGGCAGGTCAGCGACCCGACGGCTCCGAGCCCAGTGCGTCTCTCCATGGCTCAACCGCCACCACCTCGTCGTCCCCATCCACCACCGCTGTCGCACCGGAGATGGTTTCGGCAACTACTCCAGAGGGCATCACCGTCTCTTCTTTTAGTAACGGCGGTACGCCACCCGATGCAGCTGATGGCACCTCGTTGCCAGTCGAATCTCCTGGCGGTGGACTTGTCGGTCGCCCTGCGACCTCACACATGGCAGCTTCTGGCATTCACACCAGGCCAGCACCTGCACTCGCGGATGGCCAAGTGCCCTCTGCGTTCCCACCACCCACTCCAAGCTCTGCCGACGAAGAGCCCACGGCACTTGGCGCGGGGGCCTCGGGAGAAGGTAAAAAGAGGGCTAAGACTTATTAACGATGTACAATTCATATCGTCCGCACTCTTCCGTCTTTCTGTTGCTATTGTCTGTTATGGTCATATAGGACGATGTGTTGGATACTCCAGATACTCTCGGACTAGGGTCTAGTACAATCTATATTATATGGATGATATGCGAAATGAATGGGGCCTGGGCCGTAAGAAGAGACGGTATGGGGAGAGGTCCAATGATGAAGGACACGGGAGCGAGATCCCTGCTCGTCATTGCTTGATTTGAGGTCCTCTATCACTCAGCAACCGCTTTCGACTTCGGCAATGGTCGCTCGTCCTTGTTCATCGATGTCGGCAAGTCGCGTGCCCCAGATCTGGCGGCACAGCAGCAGGCACACCGGGTGGACGTGGACGGCTATTGGCACTGGCGTGATTAAAAGTCGTGTTGAGGACCTTCGCCATTTCGCTGTGCACTCGCGATCCTTCCTGGCTGTGCGCTCTCCGAGCATTGTTAAGCAATAAACACCAACGATCGAGGACGGACCTGTGACGGTCACACATGACGCGTTTGCAAATCGTAAACATGACGAACGGCTGCGCAGTAACGTTGTGGTAGCCAGGCTAAAGCTGTGGAGGAGATCAACAACGGCGAACACGACAGCCGACTAGATGAACCATCTACCTTGCCCGCTCCTTGAACAGCTCACATCGTCGGCGACCGGTGTCATTCTCAGCCTGCAAAACCGCCATGTACTGGCCAGGACAAAGCTCACCATCTTCTCTTTCATCGCGAATAGCATCTCCACCACCCTCGTCTTCAGCCACTTCTCGTCAAGACGCTGAGGCACCATCGTCATCGCCGATGGAGGACATGATCGGTATGGCGCTGCCGCGCTCTCCGCTTGCCATTCGACAGTGCCATTCAACAATAGCCTAGACTTTGGCTTTCCTCGTCCGGCGGCCACGAAGGCATGTCGTCAGATACTGGCAAGTCGAACGAGCCGACCTCCTTGAGCGGTCTGTCTGGCATCCGTTTCTCCTTCTGCGCGCGCTCTGACAGCTCCCGGCTGTCCTCAGCCTCCTCGAGCGCCATCGCCGATACGCGGCTCTCGCTTTGAACCCCTTCTTGCACGTCTTCGACCGCTCGTACAGCTGCGACTCGACTGCGCTCATGTTGACCTCCTTGAAATTCGTCTGGCAGCTTCGCCTTGGAGCCTGGCTTGACGTGCCGCAGCGTGAACGAACAGGGCACTTCGTGGAGACGGGGAGCATATTTCTTTGTTCAGCTCGAGCCTAAGGTGCAGAAATTTGAGCGTCAACAGAGGGGGAAGATCGCTTTCGACCGCGTACCATCGGGAAGCATTGGTTGTAATGCCATGCGGGCGTCTGCGGAAGTTTGAGCTGGATGTTACATGGGAACATATGTCTGCGAAAACCTTCAGCATCGGATCATGGAAGACATTATATGATAACCGATGATCACGTTCGCCTCCTTCGTCCGAGCCACGATAAATTGGTTCTTGATCATGTACTGGTATGTGGCTTCCGCGCGCCAGAACACGAGCGGGAGGCTTTCGTGGACAATTCGCTATCCCAGGCCAACGAGGACACCGTCTTCATCAAGCTCCTGCTAAGACAGGAGAATGACGTGAGGCTGCGACCGAGTAAGGCCGTCGGGACAGAGCACGCGGACGAGCGCTCAGTCGCGGCGGCCTTATATGGGCTGCATCCCACAATCCAAAACCTGCAGCGGCTGAGTCCGACGTACCTGGCGATAGTGTATGCAAGAGCGACTTCAGCTTCGACGATGTGCAGATCAGCGCGGACAACCAGGCGTCTGCCAATCTGTACTTACCTCATGTGCAAGGGCAGCGTCTCGCGCGAGGCTTACGACACGAGTACTGTTTGGACCGAAGCTCTTCTTATCCGGTGCCGCCGTCCGCCAGGACGAAGTTCTCTCAACAAGCTCCCAGACCTCCTCAACTAGTCCCCCACCGACGCCGTTAGGCTGCGCAGAGCAGTACGATGCCATAGACGCGTCGCAGGGCTTCTTCGCCATTGTTCCCAACATGCAGCAATAACCAATAGCACGGGGGCGTATTCTGACAAAGTAGATACGTACTCGTTCGAACTGGTAGCACACGAGCCTCGCTCTATGCCTTCTATCCACCACCGCCCCCGGGATCTCTTGCCAGACCTCCTTCGATGCGTCCTCGACAGCCGGGCTCAGGATCTGCTTTTAGTCATGGCGGAGGCAACATGCGGTGCCAGTATCTTGCGGAACTTGAAACAGTGGTTGCCTTGTTGTCTTGTTCAGGTGCATGATCTCGCCGGTCAATGCTCGTGCGTCGACGTAGACGGGTAATACTGATATATATATATATATATGTGTGTGTGTGCTCGTCAGCTCTCCAACCAGCGCCACCATAAACAATTTGTGCACACTCGCCATTGCCACTGGTCCCTGGCCGCATCAGCCTCCGCGACTGCGCTTCAGTTGGTCGAGCGAGAGCTCCACGGATGGTATGCTGGTTTTGAGAGCTGCGCCGCCACTGAGTACGTCACCGGCTGTTCTGTCCTCAAATATGCGATTAATAATCATAAGTTCTTCAGTGCCAACGATAGCGATTAAAGTACGACGCCATCTGCATGCGGACCCAACGAAAATTGTGCAGGATAGTGATAGCGAAGCGTAGGCCTCTCGAGGGCGGAAAACAAGAGGAAAAAGCGCTCGCGTTCGCGCCCAGGCGTCTGCGCGCAACGCGAGCGTGCGGAGGTTCAAAGCAGACAGCCACTGGGCTTTGAGGTCACGTCTGTGTCATGAATATTACATAGTCCGGATGGTTCTCCCGGATTCCATAGTATTCTTTCACTTTCTATACACCTCTGTATACTCGTAGGATATTCTGGATATTCAGTCTGACATGTATATAAGGAGTTCGTACTGCTCAATAACAAGCCAGACTCGAGCTGGTCTTTCCTCACCTATTTTCCTCTCGTCCGTCTCCTCAGCTTCGTCGTAGCCCAGTCCAGTTGGATTGTAGGTTGCTGACATTAGCTCGAGTCTCCACCAACTGCTCTACGACGATCCTCGTCACTCCCACACCAACCATCACCCGTCTCCACACGACGATCCACCCTATACGCACATCCGACTCTCACCCTAAATCCTAACCCTACCGAATTCTACCGCATCAAGACCCGGACCCCTGGAACCCTTCTCCGTGCATTTGCACAACCTTTTACCACATCATACCCCCGAAGTCACCTCTGTAATCACTAGCCCTTAGGCGGCTAGACAGAGCTCCGTCCAATTAGAATTGTACCCTGCCCTAACATAGGCAGCGTTACACGCTTTGCAGCAGGCAAGCGGATATTCCTGAGTACGACGTGGCAACCAGTTGCGGCCGGATGTCAGAAAAGCGATAACAGTTAGATCGACGATCCCTTTCCGGGTGTCAGACCGAAGAGAAGCAATTGCTCTTTGGGCTGTTATACTATTCCTAGAACTGTATTAAAAATAGTGTTTCGGTTCTTTTCGGAAATTCCTATCTTTGGCAACCTCTACCCTTGATCTGGTCGTTACAACACGATTAGTCCCAGGGTTTGCTGCAATCAGCTTCACGGACCTGACACCCTATGACCACACCCTCCTGCGATTGTAGAGGACGTACACATCGAGAAGTAGAAGGGAGATCCATCTACATACGCGGCGATAACTTACGGTACTGTGCGCAACAACCGTGTCCACACTCTCCAGATAATAGTAGTCGTTGTTCCCGGTGTCGAGAAGGACTACGTGGAGAATTATTACAAAGAGTTCCCACAGGAGCACCTTCAGAATCTATCGCAGTCCCGCAACCTATAGCATCTGGTTCAAAACCCAGAACCAGACGAGACACTCTCGAATCAGTCACCGACCATCTCCGTTCAATCGCCCTCAGAGAATCCGAAGCACCACCAGAGGGTCCTCCAAACTCCGTGGAAGAAGCAGTAGAAGATTCCGAAGCTTCGGATCCACCTTCTCATCGTTCTCCAACCCCACCCTCATCTCCATCTGATTCCGGCGCGATGGCTGAAAACCAAGACAGTGCCGCGCTCCTCAATGGAAGCGCAATGAAACCCGACGCCTTTGATGGCACCAAATCCAAGTACATTGCTTGGAAGACGCAGATGAAGCTCTATGTGGTCACGCAAAGGAAGCGACTGCCAGAGCAATCTGATAGGGTCCTTATGATCCTGTCGTACATGAAAGGAGGACACGCTGGCAAATACGTAACCACATACATGAAAAAGTACGACACGGACGAGGATACCGTGATCAAGACTACCAATGACCTGTGGAAAGATTTGGACGTACATTTCCTCATTGATGAATAGGCAGAAGCTTACGATAGGTTGCAAGCCATGCAGATGGGAGCGCTGTCAGCGCAGGAGTTCTTCTCGAAGTTTGAATTATGCGCCTTCCAGGCAAACATTCACAACTTCGAGGCACATTTCCAGGAGTTAAAATCGCTTCTAGAAAAGGCACTTAGGGCCGACATCATTCGGCTTCTGTATAATTCATCGGAGGAACTCCCCACCACATACGCGCTCTACAAACAATGGGTCGCGCGCATCGACCTGAATCAGCAGCAGTACCGTCGGCGAAACCCACAGTCTTAGCGGCAAGGACCATTCCAACCTCGGCAGCAGCAGGCACAAGGTGCGTCTAGAAACTCTTCGCAGTGAGTTTCTCACACGCAGGGCCCGGCTTCGACTGTCGGGCGCGCTTGAGGCTAGCAGAACGGATGCTCAGTCCGTAGCTCAGAAGAAGGGAAGTCTCTAAGATGTATTTACCTAGCAGAACGGATGCTCAGTCCGTACTGCAATACAGTCAGTACCCTACAGTGTCCATAATGAGAGGATATACGCACGCTCAGAAGAAGGGAAGTCTCTGAGCGTGCACGACAGGGAAAAGCGAGTAAATAAGGAAAGTGGCAGGTGCCTTAGCAACTGGTGAGTCAGGAACGAAATAACGAACGCGCTATCTAATAAAATACTGTCCAATAGAAATCTGAGTCATCCCGAGACATGTGCGTGCGAGCGCACGAGCCCAAAATCCAACAGTGCGCCACGAGCACAGGCTAACGTAGCCACGCCCACTGCAAGCGCTCCGGTCCAGACACGTCGCGATGGGACAGGCATCACATTTGGTGGCAGAGGCCAGCCAATGGAGCTAGATCAGGCACGACGCTTGGGCCTTTGCTTCCGATGTGGGGAAAAAGGACATCTTTTGCGCAATTGCCCTAATCGGCAACAAGCTCAGCAAGTACGGGCCACGGAAACCCCGACAATCCCCACTACCAATGCATTCACACCGCTTGCATCACTCAACGAAGCTCCTGCCACGATGGCAGAACCATTTAACTGGAAAACGGCAATTCGCGAAGAAATTTGCGCGGCCATGAAGGGTTTTGCAAGCGGTCAGCCAGGCGCGTAGCCGAGTTGACCGAACGTAATTTTACAAACTATCTGTGTTCTTGGTTCGGTGTACCTATGTATATACCAGAAAAAGGGGCGTCCGTAGAACGGCGCGGAGAGGCACAACCCTCTTGCTTAATTTCTCCGAATAAAAAATTATTACCTACACCAAAACATCAGAGTGAACCTACGCAGTGGCAGCGCCACACCCCCTGGATGGCGGCTTGGATCCGCCAATGGATAGTCAGCAAAGAAACTGCAGTGCTTAGATTGTTGACTGAATGGGTACACTCAAAGAAGAGTGTGGATGCTTCCGAAGCCTGTATGAACCAAATCAGGCAGATGAAAGAAGAAGAAGCTATAGACTTCTTGAATGAGCTACGAAAGCAGCCTCGATTCATCCGAGGAAGGAAGGGAACACAAATGGATGTTCCAATGATCGTCACCACTCTAGACACGCAGCAGCGCTTATCAGTCAAAGCGCTATTGGACACAGGATGCACTGGATCCTCGATTGATGCGCAGTTTGTCTGCGATAACAACATCGCCACAAAGAAACTACCATCACCAATCCCTGTCTATAATGCGGACGGCACGCACAATGCCGGCGGAGCTATCACCGATTTCGTAGAGTTAAGGGTGGAAATTCAGAACCACGTGGAACGACTTCCGTTCGCCGTTACCAAACTAGGGAAAACTCCAATTTTCCTTGGATATGAGTGGCTACAAATTCACAACCCATCTATCGATTGGCAGGAACAAATCATTCAGTTTGATCGGTGCCTGATTACCTGCAAATATGCAGCCCAATTGATTGATATTGATGCCAATCAGGAAGAGCCCAGTGATCCAGAGGCTCGCCTAGAAGAAGGGGATAGAATCTTCATCCTAGATCATGAAGCATACTTTGCTACGGGAGCAGCACGCATTCGCACCACAGCCACGGATCTAGCGATCAAAGAAAGCCTGAAACATGAAGCCAAGACCTTTGAAAATACTGTCCCGAGTCACTATCATGATGACTCCGACGTATTTAGCAAAGAAGACTTTGATTCTCTACCGCAAAGGCGACCTTGGGACCACGCAATCAAACTCACACCAGGCGCGCAACCGATTAGTTGCAAGGTTTATCCTATTTCCGTGAACGAACAAAAAGAACTTGATGAGTTCATAGAAGAGAACCTCCGAACCGGGAAAATTCGACCATCGAAGTCTCCATGGGCTTCTCCATTCTTCTTCGTCAAGAAAAAAGATGGACGACTTCGACCCGTACAAGATTATCGAAAGCTGAACGAGCTGACAATAAAGAACCGTTACCCACTTCCTTTGATACAAGAACTAGTAGACAAATTGAAGCAGGCACAGTACTTTACAAAACTAGACGTCTGATGGGGGTATAACAACATTCGCATCAAAGAAAAAGATGAAGAGAAAGCAGCGTTCCTAACAAATCGAGGACTATTCAAGCCACTGGTTATGTTCTTTGGTCTTACCAATTCCCCGGCTACATTCCAAACCATGATGAACGATATATTCCGAGATCTCATCAGTCAAGGACATGTGGTAGTCTATCTAGACGATATCATGATCTTCACCCAAGATCTCGAAGAACACCGTCGGATCACGCGGCAAGTTCTTCAAATCTTGAGAGAACACAAACTTTATCTGAAACCGGAAAAGTGCGAGTTCGAGAAAGCAGAGATAGAATACCTCGGGATGATAGTAGGGAAAGGAGTTGTTCGCATGGACCCCGTCAAGATAGAAGGAGTTGTCAATTGGCCACGGCCCAAAAGTAAACGAGACATTCAGGCATTCCTCGGGTTTACCAACTTCTACCGAAGATTCATCCGGGATTATGGCAAAATAGCAAAGCCGCTCAGTTCACTAACAGGCAATGCTACTTTCGAATGGACCGTCAAACAAGAAGTAGCCTTCACAAGCCTGAAGGACGCCCTCTGTACAGCGCCAGTGCTAGCCATACCCAATGACAATGACCCGTATCGAGTAGAATGCGACGCCTCGAACTTTGCCGTAGGAGCGGAATTAGCTCAGAAGCAAGATGGCAAATGGAAGCCTGTTGCTTACCTGTTAAAGGCCATGACAGCTGCCGAAAGAAATTACGAGATTTACGACAAGGAACTTCTCGCAATCATGACTAGCCTTGATGAATGGCATCAGTACCTCATGGGCGCCATACACCCGTTTGAAATATGGATGGATCACAAGAATCTAGAATACTTCCGGAAGCTGCAGAAGCTCAACCAACGACAAGCCCGATAGGTAACCGAACTAGCTGAATATCAATACTCGTTGCATCACAAGCCCGGTAAATCTAATGGCAAAGCCAACGGACTGTCTCGCCAAAAAAGGCACAATGCAGGAAAAGAGGACAATTCAGATATCGTACTACTAAAACCAGAACATTTCCGTGCCTTGATTCGTAGTACTGTATTTAGTTTAGAAGGAATCGACCAGGACTGGGTCGCAGAAATTAAAAAACACAAAAAGAACCGAGATTTGTTAGTTACCATAGCTCTACAGAACAAGAACAAAGACTGGAACAAAGATAGTACCAGACTCGTGACATGGAAGAACCGTATTTACGTACCAGTAAATAGAAAACTCCGGGAGCAAATCATTGCTCATCGCCATGATACCCCATTGGCTGGACACCCCGGTCAATACAAGACACATGAGATGGCCACACGTAACTACTGGTGGCCCCGAATCTGAGAAGACATCAGGAAGTACGTGGCCAGATGCGAGAAATGCCAGAAGACCAAGGTTCATACAACGGGTCCTACTGGACTTCTATTCCCAAACGAAATTCTTTCACGACCCTGGGAAGTAATCTCCATTGACAAGATAGGCGTATTGCCGGATCTCTTCGGGTACAATGCTATCCTCGTAATCGTCTGTATGTACTCTAAACAGATAATCACGATACCAAGTACCATCGAGCTCAATGCCGAGGGATGGGCAAAGGCACTCCGAGATAATGTAGTCGCACATCATGGACTACCCCAAAAGATCATCAGTGATAGGGGAACTGAATTTAAGAATCAGTTCATCTCCGAGTTGTACCGATCCCTCGGAATTGAAGCCAATCCTTCGACCGCGTATCACCCCCAGACAGACGGACAAACGGAGCGCATCAATCGCGAAGTAGAACAATATCTTCGATTGTTCATCAACTATCGACAAGCAGATTGGGCTGAATGGTTGCCACTTGCGACCTTTTTGTATAACAATAAAGTCCATTCTTCCACCGGATATACTCCATTCTTCATTAATAAAGGGTACCACCCTTATGAAGGAACTCAACCGGTACGAGAAGGATTAAGCGAAAATACCCAACAGTTTGTCGACAGAATGAAGCGGGTACGAGAAGATACTAGCGCGGCTATCAGTCTAGCACAGGAAACCATGAAGCGCTTCTACGACAGAAAGAGGAAGAATGGACTGGAATACAAAACAGGGGATAAAGTTTGGCTAGAAGGGGTAAACATCCGAACGGACAGGCCAATGAAGAAGCTCGACGATAAGTGATACGGATCTTTTAAGGTCAAACGTAAAGTCGGCGCCTCTGCCTACGAATTGGAACTCCCCCGCCAATGGAAACAACACCCCGTGTTCAACGAGAGTCTTCTTAGTCCCTTCAAAGAACCCGCATACCCTTCGCAACGACGTGAACCAATAGTCCCTGACCTCGTAAATGGCGAGGAAGAATGGGAAGTCGAAGATATCTTCGACTCTCGCCGTGATCGAAATGGGAATCTTGAGTATCAGGTTCTCTGGAAGAATAGCCCCCACGGTGATCGCCGTTCCTGGGAATCACGAGCGAACTTGACCAATTGTCAAGAACTCCTTCAAGAATTCCATGCGAGACGTCCCGATAAACCCGCGCCTATGACAATTGGAACTCCCCCTCTATTAACACGACCCGTCCACATGCTCATGCGCGACTCCACTCTTTTGGTACAACGGATGGGTGGGATTCTCCCGAAACAGGGATCTGAAGAATCTGCTGGGCTTGACCTTTACTCGGCTGAAAGTGTTAAGATACCGGCACAAGACTGCAAGGTTGTCGGCACCGGCATAGCAATGCGCGCCCCTCACAGGACTTATGCATGAATTGCACCACGGAGTGGGTTAGCGGTTAAAGGGATAGATGTCGGCGCTGGAGTCGTAAACCGAGATTACACCGGAGAAGTACGCATAGTGTTGATCAACTCCACCAATCAACCCTTCCAGGTACATGCCGGCAATCGAATTGCACAGGTCATTTTGGAGTGTATTGCGTCATGCGATATTGAGGAGGTGCCGAGTTTAACAGACACTCAACGAGGGTCGGGCGGTTTTGGATCGACTGGAAAATAATCGTGAGGACACGATTCTAGACGGGGGGGTAATGTCATGAATATTACATAGTCCGGATGGTTCTCCCGGATTCCATAGTATTCTTTCACTTTCTATACACCTCTGTATACTCGTAGGATATTCTGGATATTCAGTCTGACATGTATATAAAGAGTTCGTACTGCTCAATAACAAGCCAGACTCGAGCTGGTCTTTCCTCACCTATTTTCCTCTCGTCCGTCTCCTCAGCTTCGTCGTAGCCCAGTCCAGTGGGATTGTAGGTTGCTGACAGTCTGCTATATACGTAAGCTCCTGTGCTCTCAACTTAACTGACTTCCAGGCTCATCACAGATATATAGCTATTATATATTGTCCTGCCCACTTCTCCAGTTCTAGGTCGGGAAATTTTTCAAGGGACAAGATTCCCGCAAGTAATCCAATACATGTTCGTGTTTTGCTGAGACGCACTGCACGTTCTCTGAGGAAATCCCCTCATTGAATTGTCCCATGGCCCACCCATGTCGACTGCCCAGGATCTTCGCAACGTTCGGGGCTGCACAACATGGTGGAGTGTTCGACGTCCTCACAGGTGTGCTGCCCTGAGCCTAGCGTTTCGAATCTGCATCTGCAGCGCCAACATCGATGCATGCATGCAGCCGAGCAAGGTGCTGCCTTCAGGACAGGTCCACTGCCACCGCGTATACGCGTGTCCATAACCGTCAGTGCACGATGATAACTCATGCCCGTTCCCTTCCGTGCGCTGCGTCTGTTCGCATCGTTCCCCACACGCCCACTGTCGACCGGCCATGCCTTCTTTTGGTGACGTTCTTGACATTGCCTCTGGTGGCCTCGAAATAGCAGAGAGTGCGCTCGAGGCCGTCCCGGGTTTGCCTGCCCTTGTGGCAGGGTTCAAGCTCCTTGTCGACAAAGTTCAGGTGAGTGGATCCCAACCATCAGATGAACGAGATTATGATATTCCCTCGTTACCTGTAGCTTGTTCGAGAGGTCGATGACAGGCACAGCGACTTCCTTGCTCAGGTCGACAAGCTGAAGACCGTCATCGGCACGGCGGCGAAGAAGGTGGGCTTCCAAAACGCGTACGAGATCTGCAGAGGTGTGTTAAAGGTGTGACCAGCTTGGGAAGCGACCCGTGATCTTGAAACTGAATCAGCACAATCAACGGCCTTGTAAAACGCACAGAAGAGCTGAAGGGGGAAGGGTTCTGCGGATTTGTGAAAAAGCTTGTGTACGCATCTTGGAACCGGGGCATCCTATCGAATATGAGGGAAAAATGATGAGGGTAATAGGCCTGTTCAAGGTACGGCGACCTCATCGACTCATAGTGCATGTTCTGAAGCATGCGTGCTTGCTCCAGCTCAGTGGGGCAATTTCCATCGAGAGCATTCTCAATGGCATTGCAAAGACAACAAGGGTTTGTACGATTTGGCCATCTTAGACGACTTGTTCGTGACAAGATTCCACAGGAAATTATAGATCAACTGTGGGAAAATCAACGTCAGCTATAGGAAGCTGGTAAGTCTATCCGCGAGGTTCTCGCGCACCTGAGGACTGACGACCGCTCCTAAAGAGGACCGAAAGATTGTGGACTCCATTCCTTGGGCCGATGCAGGGTATTGGTCTGTCGACGAACTTAAGAGCGGGTTCATGCAAGGCACCCGGAAGGAGCTATTTACGGAGCTAGAGTCGTGGTCTCATGGTCGATTTCCCGAGGACAAGCCCAAAAGAGTCTGCTACCTCAGCGGTGGGGCAGGTCTAGGGAAGTCATCGATTGTCCATCAACTCTGTGTCCGTCTTGATGCTGCCGAGCGACACCCTCTCAGACTCGGCGCATCGCTCCTCTTCGTCCGTGGGCGCGGAGATCTAGAATCCGCTCGCCTATTCTTCCCGACTCTTACACGCCAGCTTGCACAGACCCAACTATCCATTCGACCCCATATCTTCAGTGCCGCGCGAGAGTATCTTGTGCATGGCGAGCAGCAGTGGATGCAACACACACTCCAAGGGCTCCTTCGGAAAGCTCTGATTGCCGCCCCCGCCAACCAGCCACCGACACTACTCGTCATCGACGGAATAGACGAATGCAAGGATGGGGAGCTCGTTCCAGACCTGCTTCGATCGTCGCTCAGCCTTGTCCGCGAGTTTCTCTGGCTGTACGTCTTCGCCGCCTGGCGCCCAGAACCTCATATACTGTCGGTACTCGCATCTCCCGACTTTGCCGACATCGTTCACCATATGGGACTGGAGGACACACTGGAGGACTGGGGTGACGACGTGGAGCTCTACCTCAAAGAGACGGTCCCAAGGATCCCCTCGTACGCCGACTTCCCCAATAAGCACCCTCGTGCCCTCGAGCGTCTCATAAACGCGCAGCCGGCATGTCCATCTTTGCTCGCATCGCAGTGAATTTCTTGGACATTCACCAGAGCGACCCAGAGGAATGGTTTGAACTTGTTCTCTCAGGTGGAAGTTCAGCAACATTGCCCCTCGACGCACTGTATCTACAGATCCTACAATCAGCATTTCCTCTGGAAGACTTGCGTGCCTCACCTCGTGAATATAAACGTCTCCTTTCTCTTCTACGTTTCGTGGTATTGGAAGATGAATGGATAAACTCCGAGACTGCTGCGTTTTACGAACATGGTTTATCAGTCCGCGACGTCTTCTGCGTGGTGGACAAGCTGCGCTCCGTGTTGATGATCGACAAGCGTGGGCGTGTGGTGCCCCTCCGTGCCTCGTTTGGCGAGTTCCTCGTCAATGAGCACCGCTGCATTGACGCGCTCTACCGTGTGAACAAGTCTGAAGGACATGCTCACCTTGCATGTGCTTGTCTAGCGGCAATGACCTTTGAAAATCGCACATATTACCTGCAACCGGTGGAGGACCGGCAGCCCCAGCATGCACGGATCAACTTTAATATAATGGTGGAGAGCTGGTGGGGGCATGTTAAACAGGCCAAATGTACCGTGGAGTTGGAGGAGCAGCTATCTCAGTTCGTGCAAGGCGATCGACTGGCCTTGCATATAGTGATGTGCGGACCGGGCCTCAAAGCCCGTGAGCCCGCCAAGCCCGGCCCAAAAAGCCTGACCCGAGCCAAGCCTGGCAGCGGGCTCAAGGCCGGGCTCGGAGCGTAGTCAAGCCCAAGCCCGGCCCGAAGGCCCAGGCTTGGGTGTACCGGCTCTGTTACTGTTCCCTGAGTTCAGGATAAGGTGGGAGAGATCTAAGATGTACATACTAGACATGATATTGATATTTTAGACTCGACGGTTCCCGCTGAGCATGATTGTGCATCACCGTTTGGTGCCTGCCGTAGGCACGCGCTCGTGGGCTTCGCTGCGACTCGACTTATTCCCCAAGTGTACATCTTCTGGAGGCTGAATTCAGTGAGTACACGCAGTAATAATCTACTACATCCAAATATACTCCCTTTTCATAGCACCAGAATATTCATTGTATTGTGAGCAAGCCCGGGCTCGGGCTCGGCTTGGGCTCAGGGCTCGGCTCGACACTGCCACAAGCCCAAGCCCGGGCTTTGAGCCCAAGCCGGGCCCGCACATCACTACTTGCATATGTGGATTGTCCCAGAATTTTGTCCTGATAAGGACAGCGATTCTAGTATACGGTATATGCGGGACTGTCTCCAGGTGGGTAGTCGGTTTTGACCGCCCGTGTGCCGCGTATATTTGTCATATGCTGATGATTATATTTGTTTATTATCTATGACGTAGCCTTCCGGAGCCAGAAGAACGATATGCTCTGAGTTCGTCAAGTTTGGGATTCATATCAAACTATGGAAGCTCGGCGTGCTCAGATCTCCAAGCCGTGCTAGCACTCTATCACAAATCACCTCAGACGACATATCGCGGGTGATCTCAAGGCTTCCTGACGAATACCAAGAGTTACTTCCTGGCTTAGACCTCGCTATCGACGATGGCCGCTTGGTACAATATCAGGTCATTATGGCGGGCTTTATGACAAAGATAAACCGAGATGAAGCAACCAGGAAGCTGCAGTGTGATGATTACCATGAGGACGGCGCCGAGCTAGATCTTTTGGCAGGTCAGAGTCCTGATCGCTCTCAACCCAGCACACCTCTCCATATCCCAACCGTTACCACCTCATCGTTCTCATCCACCACTCCTGTATCATTGAACACGCTTCCTGCCCGGCCTCCAAAGAGTACCACTGTCCTCTCTGGCAATGGCAGTGCAGCACCCGACATGGCAGATGTTGTCTCGTTGTCAGCTGATATCCCTGTCGATGAACTTGTCGGCCACCTCGTGATTCCGGATACGGCGGCCTCCGGCACTCATACCAGGTCAGTCCCCGTACCCACGGCCGACCAGGAGCCCCTGGTGTTCTCTCTAACAACTCCAAGCTCTGCCGATGAGGAGCCCACCATATATACTGCGTTTATGGCGGATTTCATGACAGAAACAAATCGAGATGAAGCGATCAGGGAGCTCAGCACGCCTCTTCATAGCTCAGCTGCCGCCGCCTCGTGGTCTTCATCTATCGCCTCTATACCACCAGAGACGCTTCCCGCCTGGGCTCTAAAGAGTACCATGGCCCCCTCTGGCACTGGCGGTGAAGCACCCGACACGGCCGATATTGTCCTATTGCCAGCTGATATCTCTGTCGATGAACTTATCAGTCACCTCGCGACCCCGGATACGGTGGCCTCCGGCACCTATATTATGCCAGTCCCTGCACCCGCAGCCGACCAGGAGTTCCTCGCATTCCCTCTACCAACTCCGACCTCTGCCAATGAAGAACCCACCACATTTACTACATTCATGGCGGATTTCATGTCAGAGGCAAACCGAGATGAGGCGACCAGAGAGTTCAGCGCACCTCTCCATAGCTCAGCTGCTAGCATCTCGACATCTTCATCTTCCACCTCTATACCACTGGAGACGCTTCCTGCCTAGCCTCCAGAGAGTAAAGCTGTCCCCTCTGGCAATGACAGTACGGCACCCGACACGACCGATGATGTCTCGTTGCCAGTTGATCCCCCTAAAGGTGAACTTGGCGGCTACCTCACGACCCCGGGCCCACAAACAGCGACCTTCAGCACACATGCACTTGTACCCACAGGCGATCAGGAGTCCCTCGCATTCCCTCCATCAACTCTGAGCTCTGCCGACGAAGGGCCCACTGCACCTAGCGTGAGGGCTTTCGGAGAAGGGGGAAAGAGGGCCGGAACTTGTTGACCGTGTACACTTTTATCGTTCACATTCCTGCTGCCATTGCTACACTCCATTATGGTTGTACAGAAATATGCGTTTGATTACTCCAGAGACCCGTGAACTATAGTTTAGTATGGCATATGTTTTGGATGGGCAACACGCGAAAAACAGTAGGACTGCGCCGTACAGGAAGAAGCAGTGTAAGGAGTCCGACAGAGTTGAAAGTCGCAACAGCGAGAGCTTACTCGAAGTTGCCGCCGGGAGTGGGGTCCTCCGTTGCTCAGCGCTCAGCACTTACTTCCGCACATTCATCGACTTCGTCAGCGGCCGCTCATCCTCGTTCATCGGCGTCAGCGCGAAGTCGTATCCCTCGTATCCAGTGCCAAGGGCAGCAGGCGCACTGGGCAGACGGCCGCCAACAATGGTGCGGTTGGCTGTCACGTTGAAGGTCTTCTCCAACCCGCCCGCATCGCTGTGCACTCGCAGTCCCTCCAGGCTATACGTCCTCCGAGCGTTGCTAAACATCGAGCGTCAACGTTCTCACAAATTGGGAACAGGCCTGTGGTGATCGCTCGTGACGTGTTTGAAGATCATGGAATGGCAATCGACTGCATGACAGCCTTGTAGTAGCCAGGGTAAAGTTGTAGGCAAGGTTATTTATCAGCGACAAACAACCGACTAGACGGGATATCTACCTTCTCGTCCACTTCTCTAATCTTGAGTTTCCTGTCCGAGGCGCGTACCTTCTGCTCGCGCGCATGATCTTTCAGCTCCCAGGTGCCCTCGGCCTCCTCAAGTGCCATCGACGATATGCGGCTATCGCTATGAGCACCTTCATCCCCACGATCGTCTTGTACGTCTTCAACCGCTCGGACAGCTGCGACTGGGCCGCGCTCACGTCGATCTTCTGAGACTTCGTCTCGCAGCTTTGACTTGGGGCCCGTCTTGACGTGACGCAGCATGAACGAACAGGGCATTTCATGGAGACGTCGGATAATGAGGAGTGCATCTCCTTTGCTCAGCTCGATTCTGAGATGCACAGAGTTGAGTGATAGTAGCTCGGGAAGATCGATTTCAACCACGTACTAATGGGAATGAGGTGGTAGCGTTACTAGTAATAACGCTCGTCGGGCGTCTAATTTGAGCTGGGTGCCATACGAGAGCGACCGTCTAGAAAAGCTTCAGTGCTGAATCATGGAAGACATAGTGAGATTACCATTAATCAGACGCACCCTTTTCATGCGACTCACGATAGGCTAGTCCCTGATCGTGTACTCCCATACGGCTTCTGCGCGCCAAAACAAGAGCGGGAGGCGTTCGCGAATGACTAGTACTTGCTAGCCCGGACGAAGCTCGAGGGCACCATCCTCGGCCAGGACAGGAGATTGATGGAGCGATGAACGAGCAACGGCATTCTAACGGAGCATGGAGACCGGTGCTCAGCTGCAGCAGCCTTGTATGAGCCGCATCCCAAACCTTACCCAGCCCCAACGCTCGCCAGGACAACAATTCCCTGGACAAGCTCTGCGATGCGGTTATAGTGTCATTCTGCTCTGATTAGCCTGACAGTGTCGGCAAGGGACCAACTGAGAATCTCTCTAGCCTATTCAACATCCATCTTCACGAACCGTCTCATGTACCACCATACAAGGGCCAATGGAGCTGATTCAGTTTGGCGGCCTAGACACGGGAACTTATTAAGTTACACCGGAATAGCCACTCAGAAGCGCCCATGAGTGGCTAAGACACTGAAAAGCCCAAAAAATGGCACGGGCAGGAATCAAACCCACAGCCTGAAAGTAACCATGGCACACTATACCACTAAGGCATAAGACCTTACAAACATTGGGTTGGAATTGGCCTATAATACCACTTTTCCACCTTAGTCTTAGCTGCCCAAAGTCATATTAGCTGATTATTAGGTATTAAAGCAATGAAATTTAATTGTACAAAGGTGTATTCTGATGTTATGGCTAAGACACTGGTGTGGCTAAGACACCAGCATGACTAAGACATTGAGATATTAGATATCTGCTATTGATTCTGCTTATTGTACATATGTATATTCTAATGGCATGGTTAAAGCACCAGTGTGGCTAAGACACCAGTGTGGCTCAGACACCTGAGTAGATGAATTATACTCAAGTAGAATCAATGGCAAATATTCAATGTCTCAATGTCTTAGCCATGCTGGTGTCTTAGCCACACTGGTGTCTTAGCCACATCAGTGTCTTAGCTGCCCAAAGTCCTATATTTTACCCAATTATTATGTATTAAAGCAATGGAATGTAATTGTACAAAGGCATATTCTGATGTTATGGCTAAGACTTTAAGGTGAAAAAGTGGTATTATAGGCCAATTCCAACCCAATGTTTGCAAGGTCTTATGCCTTAGTGGTATAACGCGCTGTGGTTACTTTCAGGCTGTGGGTTCGATTCCTGCCTGTGCCATTTTTTGGGCTTTTCAGTGTCTTAGCCACTCATGGGCGCTTCTGAGTGGCTAGTCCGGTGTAACTTAATAAGTTCCCGTGTCTAGG